ATAACTATAAATATATATGAAGATAACTTTATAAAATGATGCCTCCATTTTATTATTTTGACTACAACAACAGAGGTGGATGTTAGCAGTTTGTCTGTAGAAACTGAAACATTTTTTTAAAATTATATGTACTTAAATATAACAATTGGACAAAATGTTGTCTGACATGAAAATGCCGATGAAATAGAAGTGCATCATTGAATTCATAACTGCATTAAAATTCACTCATTAACATTCATTGTCATTTGCTGACAGTTATGAAAACCTAATAGTGGATGTGAGCACAAGTGACAAATATTGGATAATGAATTTCACTAGTGGTAACAGTTATGTATACAACTTTTGCAAACCAGAATGCAAGCTCTTGTTCATCACAGGTGAATGCACATAGTCAGAGGTGATAACCATATGGAAAACTGGTGTTTTGTAGTTGAAAACTTATCTTGTTCCATAGTATCATTGTGCTTCTTGTATCTTTTGGAGAGTCTGTGAAAATAAGTAGGAGGTATTACTTTCAGAACATCCACTGTAAAATATATATGCTGGCTTGGTTAAAACGAACAGAAATATTTTTTACTAGCTTAAAAGCCAACATATTGGATGGCATTTAAGCTGGCTCTTGCAGAGGGCTCTTAATTGCGCCTTCTGCTTGTCCAGGAGTTTCTAAGTCTTTGCATATTCTCAGCATTGGAAGCTCTCCTTGTTGCCATTTGATCTGGGTTTTCATTTGCATAAGATACTCTTTTCCCCACTGCACCAAAGAAAAGAATACTGTACTGTTATATGTAATATCAGTCCTCCTTCTATATGGCAGTGATGATGGGTAAGCAACTTGAGATGATAGAAATGATGCTGAGAATACCATGGACTGAACATGTGAGCAAGGATGAAGTTTTAGAGAAAATGGAAACAAAAAGGATAATTATACTTAGAATCAGAAAAAGACAATTGAAATTTCTAGGGTACAGAATGAAAAAGCAAGTCTTGGAAAATTTGATACTCGCAGGACATATTGAAGGCAAGAAGGACAGAGAAAACTAGTAGAAAGTACCTAACAATCTTGTGTAAATGGTTGACAAGACATGGATTAGGAGAGATAGCAAAAAGACAAACTTTACTAAGAGCTCAAAGGACAGGAAGTTGTGGTGAACTATGACCACCCACACCCTGAAGAGACATGGCACACAGAATATAACATGTAATAGCCTCTGCATGAAGAAATTTTATAGCAAATACAAAAATATAAAACAAACATTAACAATAATTTCCCTCTCCACATGATATATATACATACTTAGAAAAGATAAAATTAACAGTAATACAAATATTAATAATATAAAATGCACCATTAAACTATTCTACAGAAACCAATTGCACAATAGCTACAAACTAGGCAAAAGAATTATAAGAAATCTATTACATCAATGCCTAACACCTATTAACAAAAAACAAATTAAACTCATCACTTACTATAAAAAAAATTCCAAAATTTAAAGCCTATAACATAATCACCACTCCAAGAATCAGGGCCTCCCCATTGTTATAAAATAAAATAAGACATATCTTGGCTGATTTACAGGCAAATAAACTAACATACTCAAGAGCGAGAGCCGGATGTGAACGGGATAAAGCCCCCTCACAAAATGACCATTATCTTCGTTTACGCATGTTCCCGACGCATGAGTTCCGATCGAAAAATAAAATAATATCTTAAAGTGTTTCTATTTTTCAACCAATAAAAATGCTTCCCTCTTAATTATACTTGCGTCGTTTTTCGAGCCTGTTAAGCCATAAAAAACGCCATAATAGAGGTCATACGGAAGTACAACAGCAGTCAACAGGAGACCAGGGAAGAGACCTGTCACGTTCAGGCTGAGCAGTCAGCAGCAGCCAGCAGCAGTAGCGCCACGCCAACCAGCAAGAACTACTATGAGAGATCAACCCAGATCTTCAGCCGGCCTATGAACTATACCACAAGGAGGCTGTCCCAAAACCACACGTTCCTATTGAAATAAATCACGTAAATCTATTTCTACTGTTGTCATATTTCTTTCTTGCAACCATACGCTTGTCTATAACACCATCCACCAAATCTATAATACGAACCCCACTCTACTACATCACAATTTTCATAAGGCAGTATTTATATAAAATGCAAATTTTATTGTAACCTAATTATGTATAATATAGATGAACAATTCAACTAGAAAAATTGAAACTAAATACAAGTTATAGACATGTCATAATTGATCATTCCATTTTAAATAAAGAAATTTTTAACATCAACTTGAGAGTTTTCTTGTTAAAAAGTTGAATAATTTTAACATATTCATCATTATGGTTGAAAAATAGTAAATTTTATATAGGCTTTGTTTTAGACTTAGCATGAGAAAAACGAAACAAATTTGGACAAAAAAATAATAACTCCACCCCTAGAATAACATCAAAATTTGTGAGAATGTTTCATCCTCTAATAGTCAGTTGTGCTTAGTTTAATTTG